AAGGAATGTAACGTAATTTATACTATCCAGAGTTGTCAAGTTGTAAAATAAATGGTGTCATCTGGTAATCTGCCTGCCAGCTCCTCGAAGTTTGTGTTTATATATATATATAAAATAATTTTGTTTTATTGGTAAATAAATACAGTATGTTTCGGTCCTTCAGATTTTTATTTAAAAAAACTATGATATAATAACTTTACTAAAATACTCAATCTTTTGTATACATATTGGACAATTATCTAAAGATAAAATACACATAGAACATACTGCAACATGTGTACAAGGCATGATTATAATATTTCTGTCTTCTATCATACATACTATACATACTAGAGCATTATATAGAGGAGCAGAGGAAAGAACTGGGGGAGGGGTAGCTGTATTACTATATGATTGTGCTGTAAGACTTTCAGAGTAATATGGTGAATTGGGAGGAGATAATGGATTTAGTTTAGGTGGTAGTGTAAGTCGGAATCTCACTTCTGCTATCTCTGTCTCCATAAGCTTCAAAACTGCCTTAAAACTCTCTTTCGGATTATTAAAGGGGACACCTTTCTTTTCTAGTCTTTTATAAAGAATGCGCCTTACATTATTGAAGGAAAATCCCATGGCGACAACTCTTTTTATTATACTACTCTGTTTCATTAAATAGGTAATATCATCATCAGATATATTTACTTGATAAGTATAAATCTGAGGCTTAATTGCAGAATTACTTTGTTGGTAAGGAGTTTGGTCTTGAACTTTAAAAAAGGGAAAAAAATAAATTAATATTATATAATTAACAAAATTCTTATTTTATTTTTTAATAATCCATATTTTACTGTATAAATTATATTCCTGAAACTGGAAATCTTACAATTAAAAACTAGCCACCTCACTCTACCTCTTTAATAAAATCCCACCCCTTTTTCCGTCTGACAAATTCACATAATGGGGACCAACGTGCATGAACATTCCATGACTCGTCATTTTCTTCCCAATTATGAAGACGATAATTAAGTCTGCGATGTTCTTGAAGGGGCGTATCTTCCCAATGGCCTATGATACCCAGGCAGAAAAAACAAACACAAAATTCTTCCATTTTAAGGTAATAGAAGCCGGCAGCGGCTAAATCTTCGGGAGCGGGAGATATCGAAGACGACCAGTCTACGAACGTATCCAGTCGTTCCTTTTCAAATCTGAATTTATCAATGTATAATGTCTTGGGCCGATTTAAAGTGCGTAAAAATATGCACTGGGGCCGTTTCTCCCTGTGAAAAGCTTCACTGCTGTCGACGGCGGCGCCGCCGCCGCTGGTGGTGGTGGTGGTGGTGGCGGTGGTAATAGTGGTGGTAGTGGTATCGAATTCCAAATTGCACTGAAAACATTTTACTTTATTTTCCCACGGAGAAAAATAAAACCCGGCTCTCGAAAGGGTCTCCACATCCACCACATTTATTAAAGGGGAATTGACAAAAGTATTCTGGCGATTTTGTTTTTCATAAAGACTCTGCCTCGATTGTTCCATTATTATTTCACAGCCTTTCAAAAAAAACATATACAATAACTGGAACTAGTAGGTTTTTATACTCCCAACTACCTACTAAACTAAACTGAAAACTGTAACATAATTTATACTATCCAGAGAGTTGTCAAGTTTTATATATAAATAGTGTCATCTAACAACTTTTTGTACAGCCACGTCATTCAAGTGCCTGCTAGCTCTGCGGGTGTTTAATCTGACAACAATACATCATGGATATACACTACTACTATACAAGAGGAGGAGAAAGAAAAAGGAAAAAAAAAAGAAAAAAAGTTACTTATGTATCTGAACCACAAGTACAATATCTAATTTTAGACCCAATTTCTAGAGAAGCTAGAATGGCGACTGAATGGATAGACAGAATGCATTTTAAAAAACGGTGTGATGATACGTCGATAAAATTATCTGCTATTTTAACAGAGAGTCATCGAAAGAATGTATATGATAATAGATTTAGGTGTTATCGCCCAGTTTGAACCCCGCGTCTCACCTATAGTGTTGATATAATGCAGTATGCATGTGTAGAGAGCTAAGGAAGCTAATTTCTTCCTTCAATGGTAAAAATGAACCTACAAAGTTTACGAAGATACACTATCATTCTGAACCACATAATTGTCACTATTCATTAAAAATTTATTTGAACTGTAGTTTTTTTATACACCCCAAATCTATAACAAAACTGAAAAACTTTATAAAATAAAAAAAATAAATAAAAAAGTTACTTTGGATATCGTTTTTGTACGAGAAAATCTAAAAGATCTATAGTATTGTTTACCACACAGCATGTATTTGAAAAACATTTTAATTTATTAGTATCTATATAGAGACTAGCAGAGGGTGTTTTGAATGTCCTCGTTTTTCGTGATACGGACAGTAAATGTTACTTTTCCATTCATTACCAGCTGCCTCATTCTCCCAATAAGGATCTTCTTTTAAAATCTTTTGACATTCTAGAGCAGCCATTTTCATTTGTTTTATATACTTATATACTGATGGGTATTCTTCTGACTGTGATTTTTTAAAACCTTTTTTTAAACACTTATATGACGACAACGACGAAGAGGAGCTTGATCTTTTGGTTGGTGGTCGACGACATGTATTGTTAACCATAATTTCATATTCATATTCAGTTTCACAATTTTCTTTTTTTTTTCAATTGCAACTTGTATTTCCTCCGGAGATATATGTCCACCGGTTTTACATTCTGTGAATATAAACTGAATTTCCTTATTCATTATGGAGTTAAATTCTAAAAATCAACAAAAAATATTAAACGAATGGAAAGATTATTATCAATTTATAGTAACATCTCAGTTTTTATATATACAAGATAAGAGATATGCCAATTATTTTGAATCACTCTTAAGGACGTGGCCTTCTTTTGTAAAAAATTTAAAAGTTATAATTGTTCATCAACGAACCTCAGGGAATAAACAATGATATTTATCCAAAGATAAAACTATATTAAATATATTTGACTCACCCATCGAAATAAAATTCTCATCGATAAATGGAATAACAGTATCTGGTAGTTCTGCTTTCGGTATTAAAAAAATACTTAATTCATTGATTGCAGGAATAAAAAAGGAAAATAAAAACATATATATCCAATGGGGTTCAAATAATAACAATGATAATAGCAATAGTGATGATGATAGTTGATTGATGAAACGATAACAACTAATATTTTTGAATTGGGGTAGGGTAAGGATTGATATATAAATATTGGGATATAAAATATAAAATCTATTACACTG